AAAAAGTGGAAGGAAACACACCAAAGGTAGGTAGTTATACCTTCATGTGGGAAGATTACTGATGACTTTGTCTTTTTAACTGTGTATATTTTTTCTATACTACTTAATTCTTCTATAAGGTACTTTTATAATTACAAAAAAATTTAAATAACAATTTCAAGTGTAAATCCACACTAAACAATAGATGGAAATCCAACAGCTCTCCACCCCACTCCCACAGACAGGCAGGTAAGGCAGTAAGTGGGGGGGAAACTGCTTTGTTTTAAATCTAGGCTAGAAACAACATGAGGCTTCTTGATGTGAAAACAAAAACTTCTCCTGTCCCACGCATCAAAACATATTTTGGGAATTCACTAACCAAAACATTTTCCATCAGAGGATTTAAATCCGCACACCAAAATTATCTTCACAGAACAAACTAGTTAGGCAAGCAGGAAGTTTACCAGGAACACCCTAAAAACTAATAATTGTTTTTACAGCTCTGATAAATCCATGCCAGCTCAGGGCAGTACACAGAGTAACATAAACAATCCCCAGTGAGTGTGTCACCACTTCTGAACAGGAGAGCAGGAGATCCTTACACAAGGCTTTCCACTGGGGAGAACCACAGATGCTGCAGAAATTAAGTCCTTTGAGGTTCGCCTTTCAAGGGCTGATTTTGCAGTCTTTGAGGTGGTTTTCTCAGAGTTACAGCTAACTGTGCTGTTCCATCTTCACAACCCTACAAGGCTGGGCTTCACAACCTCAGCACTTTTAACATTTTGGGCCAGATAATTTTTTGGGGTGCGGGGGGCAGGGAGATTGTCCTGTGCATCATAGAATAGTTAGCCACATCCCTGGACTCTACTCACCAAATGCTAGTGGCATTCGCAACTCCAGGTGTGACAAAAAATGTCCCCTGACATTGCCAAATGACTCCTATGGGTCAAAATCACCTCAAAAACCACTGCTACAAAAGCATATACCATTATTGCCCACCTTTGACCAAGGAGGTAAGGGAAACACAGTTACAGGCCCATCTAACTCCAGAGGCCAAGCTCCACAACTCCATGCTGCATTCATGCCAAGCACGAAGCCAGCTCAGAGTGTAACTGACACCATCTTTTCTACTTGGGTCATGTCTGCATCCCCAAGGAGTTTGGTGTAGGCCTCAATGCATGTTGGTTGAAGGAATCGTTACTCTCATCATATAAATATTTATTGAGTTCCTACTAGGTAGAGTAGGTCCTATTAACAAAGGTGTAGTCAATAAGACAAACCTAGAGAGCCATTTGGAGAGTCGGCTTGGGAGAAAATTCTGTTTTCTCATCTGTAAAATGGAGATAATGCTAGTACCTACCCTTGTAATTAACTGAGATGGTGCAAATAAAGTTCCTATCACAAAGTATAATTTCAAAAAAAAAACAAAACAAGATGCCAAATACGTGGCAATAAATAGGTACAGGCAATGGAAGAATCACAGCACCTCAAAATCACTGGGCTGGAAGGCTCCAATGAAGACAACCTCGACTCACCAGCCACTTGGTACTTGAGCATTTAAAATCCAAAAATTTGATTACCTGATTCCTGCAAAGTTCCTGGGCTGAGCTCTGAGACTCTCGGCAAAGTTTTCCTGGTGGACTGCTTTCACGTGGGCCTGGAGGAAAGAGGCAGGGGTAAGCAAAGAGAAGAGCACTAGGGAAAACAGAAAGGTTTAGTGGACTTAAAGCACTCCAGCAGTTGGAGCCTGGGTCCTCTGCACAGGGGCAGGGAAAGACAAGCTTGGAGAATGAGGTCAAGATCAGCTGAGGTCACCAGGTGACATAGCGGTGACAATAGCCAGGTGAGACCTAAGAAATATTTCTCCTAAAAAAGCAAAGGCTGCTACAAAGCATATATCCAACTTACATTATGAACAGAGAACTTAATTTCTCAGACTAAAAGATCAGCCA